TACATTTTTTCATGCTATCAATGCTGCACTACTCAATTTAAAATAAACATTATTTCGTCCACGTAGACGCATGATGAAAGTTATTTTTGTTCAAGACAATTATTCTTCACTGTACTAAGTTCAAAATAATTCAATGCTTCACATGATAATTTTGTCTAGGATTAAGGATTACTGAGCTTGAAGTTGAACAGGAAATATCTAAATTAAAAAACTCTGCTTGCTTGGATGTATACAACTCAAACAGTATAGAATGACAATGACATGCTCTTTCCTCTACTTATTTGGGCTAAATATTGATTTGTTGATCTTTCGAGCCAATCATCAGAATAAAGTCACTCCCTCTTAGCTGAACTTATAAATTCTCTGCAAATTCTCATCAACGTCATTTTTATCTCTCAATTCGGTCCTGTGATATTAACCTGCTTCGTTCTCAAGCGACCAGCGAATTCCTTCAACAAGGGTAACGTACCTACCTACTTATTCTATAAATTTTTTTATGCTATCAATGCTGCACTACTCAATTTAAAATAAACATTATTTCGTTCACGTAGACGCATGATGAAAGTTATTTTTGTTCAAGACAATTATTCTTCACTGTACTAAGTTCAAAATAATTCAATGCTTCACATGATAATTTTGTCTAGGATTGAGGATTACTGAGCTTGAAGTTGAACAGGAAATATCTAAATTAAAAAACTCTGCTTGCTTGGATGTATACAACTCAAACAGTATAGAATGACAATGACATGCTCTTTTCTTTACTTATTTGGGCTAAATATTGATTTGTTGATCTTTCGAGCCAATCATCAGAATAAAGTCACTCCCTCTTAGCTGAACTTATAAATTCTCTGCAAATTCTCATCAACGTCATTTTTATCTCTCAATTCGGTCCTGTGATATTAACCTGCTTCGTTCTTAAGTGACCAGTGAATTCCTTCAACAAAGGTAACGTACCTACTTATTCTATACATTTTTTCATGCTATCAATGCTGCACTACTCAATTTAAAATAAACATTATTTCGTTCACGTAGACGCATGATGAAAGTTATTTTTGTTCAAGACAATTATTCTTCACTGTACTAAGTTCAAAATAATTCAATGCTTCACATGATAATTTTTTCTAGGATTAAGGATTACTGAGCTTGAAGTTGAACAAGAAATATCTAAATTAAAAAACTCTGCTTGCTTGGATGTATACAACTCAAACAGTATAGAATGATAAAGAAACCATACACCTTGTTTCTGGTCCATTGATTGTTCTTTTCAATCGTTGTCTATGTGAAGGTCTATTCCGAGATATCTTTAAAACAAGTGAGGTTATTCCCATATTTAACAAGGGCGATCCAAATATTCCAGATAGCTGTAGACCGATATCTATCATTCCTATCTTTGGTAAAATTTTCGAGATACTAATAGGCCTTTTCATTTAGATGACAAATGACTATCTGTGTTTACATCTCGCATCCAAGGACAGTGGCAGTCTTTTTCACCGAAACACTTGCACCACACTCCTCAGTAATTAATGCAGTAACGTTTTTTCGATTTAAATTGATATAATACAATTAATACACACCAGAAATATGGAAACGAAAATACTATATTGTTATCGTTGTTTCTCAATGACGAATGCCCATGGTGGTTGACACTGTTGACATTTGACAGAACGTCAATAACGTCAATAAAAACCGCCATATTTGAAATGGCCAGAACTATAGCCAATGAGACTTTACCTTCCCATTAACCAATCAAATTTTGGATCTAAAAACGAGCGCATGCGTCTCAAAAATATATCTATATGAAAAGGCCTATTGAAGACCGTTTAATCTCTTTTTTAGATTCTCATTCAGAACTCAATAAAAATCAATTCGGATTTAGGTATAACAAATCGACAACCCAAAGCTTTGATGGCTATAGTTGATTCAATGACAGAGAATATAGAAAAAGGCCTGGTGTCTGCCTTAACTTTATGTGATCTAAGTAAGGCTTTTGGCAGTGTAAATCATGATCTACTACTAGGTAAACTAAAATATTATGATATACGTGGCACAGCTTTAGAACTAATGAAAACCTACTTATGTGGGAGAAAGCAAGTTGTTTATACATCTGGAAATTCTAGCACATGTAAATCCATTTCGTACGGTGTACCACCAGGTTCCATACTGGGACCAACACTCTTCCTGGTTTATATAAATGACATTTTCAGTTTCTTACTCCCCAAGCTCATATTTATGTTATGCAGATGATGTATCAACGGTAGAGGCAGACTCAAACATGAACGACTTGAAGGATCGATGTTCTAGGACAAATAACAATGCTGAAACTTGGTTTACCTCAAATTACCTCAAACTTAAACAGGGATAAGACACAGAAAATTATAATATCATCATTTATTGGGGTTTAAAATAGATGACATGTTGTATTGGGAAGCATATATCGCTGGTCTGTGCAGAAAACTTTCTACACAACTGTTCCTACTAAGACAGCTGAAAATGTGTCTTAATCAAAAACTTTCTACACAAATGTTCCTACTAAATCAGCTGAAACTGTGTGTTAGTCAAAGTATGCCACCTTTTTTTTATGTTCTGGTTGTTCACGAAAAGGGATATCCTGTAATGTTCAGAGAACATCGTGAGAACCAAGGGAAATAAGGTAGGAATTGGTGTTCTTCTTAAATTTCTGGAGGAATGTGTTCCAGAGCTTCACTGTTCGTTGGATGAACGAGTCTTGGGAAAAATATGTTCTGCAGGTCTCCAAAGTGACCACGAAGGGGTGCGAAGCCTAAACTCGATGGGTTAATCTCGCATGGACTACCAAGGGAGGAACAATTGTTGATATTTCAGAAGAACATCGTCCATGAAAATTTCTATAAAATAGAGCGAGATCGCCAACTTTTCTACGGTGTTCCAGAGAAGTGAGTGAGTTTGTGAGCGAGGCATCACCCACGAGACGAATTGCCCTTTTTTGGACAGAATCTAACAGTTTCAGGGTCATCAAAAAAAAATCCTTTAGAATTTATAATGTGCCCCTTCATGAACAATTCATTATTTTCTTCCCAGATTTCACTTATAGATACAAAAGTTCCATTTTTCAGCAAACAATGATTGTCAGGGCTCCGATTTGTAAAAATGGTTCCTTTTAAATGCGGTTTACTACAATTTCGTTTGATTTCTAATTCAGTTTTGAAATATTCATTTCCTCTTGTTTACTCTTTGAGTCTCTACAATTTGCTGCAATGGTTTAGAAGAACGAATACATTTTTTTTTTTCAAGTGAAGAACTCATTGCACTCCCTCCGCAAGTATCAAGATTTGTTTTGTTTTCTGATACTGACGACAAAATAAAAATTCGCATGTAGCTGCTATGTTCATGGTGCAAAATATTTAAAATGTATTGTCAGTGGATCATAAGTTCATGGTCAGTGGCCACAGTCATTGAGAGTGTGATGTAGATCATGGACTCATAGAAAAACAATATCATTAAAATTTGTGGAGATGACTTCGAGCATTCCTTCCTTCCTGTGAAAAAGAAAGTATCTATTTCACATCCCCACAATTGGTAGGTATCAGCTGGTTTGATCTGTGGAAAAGAAAAAATTTCAGGTTGAGGAGCTCACCCATATTGACTTCTTAAATTTTTCGGATTTGCTGAAAACCAACCTCATACTTGGAAAAAAGAATACTGATGGAAATCCATTCAATTGGGAGGAAGCGAAATGGTTTCGCTATACAAGAAAGTTTGGACAATTGTACTACCTAGTATTTCAGAGAATGAGCTATTCAGCTGTTTGAATTTAATTCGCAGAGGAAAGTCCGCGGAGGATATGCATCTATCCAAGTTGTATGACAATACATTACCCATTTCGAAAGAGAAGAAAAAAGACATCCTAGACTTGTTGCCATTCGTCCATCCAACTTTTCATGAATTTTATAAAAACTTAAGGACTACCGATTCACCCGACAAGTATCCAGATGTCGAAGATTCCGAAAATAGTGAATAATCACACGATTCTAGATAGAATTTATCATCAGGAAAATATGAGTTATTTTTATAAAATATAAGTCAACTTCAGCACATGGTTCATTCAGTATAAGTGTTCGGGATTCGCGTGTTCTGTTCAATTTCTAATGATGCATAAATTACTCATTTTGTGAAATATCAGATTTCCCCCTTAATAACATTACCGGCAATTCCGATGAGATGGCGATGGATATTTCCATGCCATTGGGTTGGTTGAGAGTCAGTGTCAACGAAAAATATCATTCTGGACATCAATATTCTCCCATGGAGAATCGAGATCCAGTGATATATTCACACCCAATAGCCAAAAGCAAGCAGACTTCGAACTCCAAGTGGAATTACCTGATGCCCAGCTGCAGCTAGAAGAAGTTGATCCATAGAACCTGACGGAAGAAATGTAAGGATTTCTTGTAACCTGTCGGTAACTTCCAATTTGATCTAAGCTAATACAGTCCACTTTGCATACTCAGACAATAAGTCACAAGACTTATGAGAATTTTACATAATATATTTATGCTTATATTCATTCTTGGTCTAATATTCATTTTTGTTTTATATCAAGTGATTTCATTACTCTGCATTTCGAATTCAGATAAATAAATGCTTTTTTTGAAGAACTAGCTATTTTGACTTGTTTTACTTTTCCCTGACACCCTAGATATGGTTTTCTACCTCACAATGTCCTACCATATGGGACAAAGATAACCTCATTTCCTCCTTACAATAAGTAACCATGAGTATTTCATGACAAATATAATACTTGACAACGTTGCTCCAAATCAAAGGAAGGGAGCAACTTTGCCAATTTCTTGGCAACAAATAAAAAGGCGAAAATTGTGTGAAATAGCTCCAGTTGATAGTAGGTACATAAGTTTACATCAACTTACTCTGTTGGAAGGAAAATGCACTAGATATTACTGTAAAAATTAAACTTTTCACAGATGACCTGGATCCCATTTAAGATATTCTTGAAATGTTCTTACATAATCTTCTGTGATCAGCTGTTGATAAATTGTTGACATCTAGAATATGGTTCCTAGGTATTATCAAATAATGATGTTTAGCTGCAGGTTTGATATCTTTGATGACAACATAATTATCATCTTCGAATAACAAATTTCCAGGTGCATCTCCACTTATAATATTGCAAAAAATACATGGGGTAGATCTCTGTGTAGATTGGGACATCTTGAAATAGAATTAGGTATTAGGTCAAGGTGGAAATAAGTGTGCACCCTGTGACTAAATTCAACAATTAATGCAGTCTGTTACATCCCACTACATCTTTATTGGATGATGGATTGTTAAATGAAATTAAAGATAAAAAATAGTTATATCTGATGGGAATATCAGAGAAGCAGGTATAAGGCATAAGGAATCCAGGGAATTGAATCTCCAGTATTCAATAGGAAATAGAGAATTTATGGGAAAATTTACCTAGGACCTGAAGACAAATCTACAAGTTGGTGAAATGCCCCTCAGTATAAACAGAATCACCTATCAAGTCAAATCTAAGATAGAATAGATATTAACATACTACCAATAATACCTAAGTAATGTGAACCATTAGGACACTGATTTTAGTTTCATAATAAGATACTTTCTCCGGCACTAGTGTGGTAGAGTAGCTAAATAAAAATATTTTGAAATTTCATGAACTTATTTATCATAAATATAGCAGATACTGAAGTTTGCTGAAATGTTCATATCTGATGGGTGAGCAGAATTTGTGTTGCTATTATATTCCCAATAAAACATTGATTCAAGGAATATCAACTATTTTCAATTAAATCATTAGCATTATTGGTAGTAGGTAAAATATAGTACTACATTCCTATTGCAGATTCATATCAGGGTATGAGATGGGAAATTTGTCAAATGAAGCCAGATCCTGTGAAACACACACTACACAGTTACCTACACTTATCTAATCACTTATGTACAAAATTTTTCCTAATTTTGCTGAAAAATTTCCCTTGAATGGAAATAATGAACAGTTCTACATGAATTCTACAGGAATATGTACAATTGTACAAAATTTTGTAGTGTCCCTCAAACACTGGGTCATTGACAAAATTCATAGACTCCTGTGATACCTATTTTCATTAGTGGAAAATGGGAAATTCAAATTGAGATATCCCAAGCTATACAGAGGAAGCAGCACAAAAAGCACTATTCTTTTCGTCCATCCATTTTTCAACGGTGTTGAAATGAACATTTCATCACATATTATGTAATATTTGATTTTAACGTTAACGGGTTAAGTGGTCATACGTTTAAAGTCAACACGTTTCAAAAGTTTCATCAGTTATAGTGATAAATTGCATGTTAACATCACTGTTGAATTTAGCAACATGGTGAATGTGTTCATGCCACACCTTGTGAACAATATGAAGAAATCAACTTCAAACTTGAAAAACGAGAATGATCTATAAAAAATGTCTAAAATAAAGAATTAAAAGAGTAATGAACAGTGAAAATTGAATAAAAAATCGTTTGTTTACAACTTTACATTTTACAATTTCTATTTCTAAACAGATGACATGACATGGACATGACACTGACATGCTTGACAACAACAAGGCATAAGCCTATATTTACTATTTCTATATATGACGCATCGACTAATGATAAATTGACATTAATCATACAGGACGTGGAAAGAAATTCTGAATTGAGAAAAAACCTAATCACAGATCTGCGATTGAGGTTTGAACCCCTTGATTGGGTGAAAATATTGAAAAGGAACATTCTCAGATATATTTATGAACACAAAAAAATGGATATATATTCAAAGAAATACATTGGGAATTCGCATTCTCCATGTGATGAAAATATCAATTCCTCCACGGTTTATTCAACAGAAAACAACTACTTTCCTGGCTATATGCCACGACGAATATTGAATTACATCTATTGAACACACACAATGAGAATTCGAAAAAAAAATCTTCTGAAGTAGAGAATTTGCATTCTCCTTTATATAAAGATATGCATATAATATAATTCTGAATATTCAACGAAAAACAACTACTTTCCTGGCTATTTGAGAGCATGAAAGATCAAAATCCTCTGGAATTGAGAATGAACATCATCTCTCAAATCGAATAGAATATGATGTATTATGATATAAAAATATAACTTACCGATATGTTCAGTATTGAAATGAAAATTGAAATGTATAGAAGTATACTTCTATGAACTCTGATCTTGATGAGCTTGGAACTTCCAAAAAAATCATTCGTATCAGTGATATGGGAATTATATCTCTCACAAACAGGTTATATATGAATTCATTTCGGATATCATATCCTCATCAGTAACCTGAAGTCCAGTTATTAATTCTTTCAGTCATTCTTCATGATATACACAATTTTCATCTCCATGCGCTTTTGTTTCAGAAATTTTACTCGACGTCTCGAGAGCAGCGAGAACAATGGTTCCGTTGATCTTCTAATAGATGGCGACATTGCACAATTATGACTTCTGTCAGTTTTGAAATTGTCGCAGATTTTTCGAATTCAGAGTTGTTTAATCCCACTTTTACATATTATGTTCCGCGTACCTAAAATGGCATTTGCCATTTTATTTCCACTCGTCACAGCAGCAATAGCAGCATTACCATCTAGCGGGAAAATGTAGAATCAACGTCTCGCTCGTTGTGACGAAGAGAAATCATAGTAGGCCGGTCGAGTGATTTTTCTGAAATTTTCAATACGTAATAATGGCCGAATGCGCACACCATATCTTACTTCCATCATTATAACTACTATAAATCTGAGAATAATAATTTGTTGACATTAGCACTGTCATCGAGCATTGGTTTTTTGAATGTATGATAAATTGACATTCATCATACAGGACGTGGAAAGAAATTCTGATTAGGTTTTTCTCAAGAAAGGGTATTTGCGCTCATTGATCGAAATTCGCAATCAAACTTCAATTGAATGGTCCCACCGTCCCTTTTTGTTTTCAATGGACTAATGGAACGTGTCACTTCGAAGAATTTTCACAAGTTTCATCTATTGAAATTGCAGCAGAAACAGACAATCCTATATTCTACAAAATGAAAGGAGTGAGAACGGTCTCTAAACTCAATTTACCCTAGCAGAATATTGACGTTGATGAAATTATGCATTAATATCCTCATCTAAACTGTGATATTCTGAATGCCATTAAGGTAGCAAAACCTAAAACTCTTGAAGTACACTGAGGAACATTGCTGCTGTAAAAAAATAAATGAATACCTGGAAAAGGGATATGCGAGGAGACTTGAACCTGACGAAATCACAAATACGCCAAAAACTTGGTACTTACCGCATTTCGCTGTTTGGAACATTACCAAACCAGGAAAAATCAGACTGGTGTTCGATGCGGCCGCAAAGAGTCATAATTTCAGTCTGAACCATTTCTTATTACAAGGATCAAACTTCGTTCCTTCGTTGGTTGCTGTATTATGGCTTTTTCGTCAAGGTAAAATTGCTGTGAATGCTGATATTAAAGAGATGTTCCATCAGGTTAAGATACGGAAGGAAGATCGATGTGCACAGAGGTTTTTTGGCGTGAAAATAAACAGAGTTCTCATCCCGATGTTTACAAAATGAATGTGATGATATTTTGTGCTGCCTCATCACCTTTAATAGCCCAATTCGTCAAGAATAGGAATGCAGAACAATTCGAGAGTCATTATCCTGGAATTATGAAGATGATGGGGAAGCAACATTACGTCGATGATAATTTGGATTCATTCGACAACGAGGATGCCGCAATCAACACTTAGGAGAGCGAAACTTCCACCATTCAATATCACACCTGCTTAGAGAAGATGTCTCAAAACCCTCATCATTACCCAGACATAATCATCCTCCCAGCTGATGAAAGCAACACCACGGTAGTATTGAATACCTCAGACAATGTCGATAAGATGAGAATACTCTTAGATTGCGGAATCAAAGAAAATTACAATAATCCCTATAGAAAAATCATCACGCACCCCCCGTATTTATGGACTACCCATAATACATAAACCTGATATCCCACTGTCCCCCATCGTCAATGCCTTTGGATCACCAACTCATAACCTCGCCAAATATCTGGCAAGTACTCTTCAACCTTGAGCTGACGAATCTTCATTCAATGTGAGAAACTCATTCCACTTCATAGATATTCTCAAATTTTACAGAATCCAAAGCACCGACATCCTTGTGAGCTTTGACGTAGTATCGCTATTCACGAACACTCCTATGACGGATATGTTGGATATTCTCATAAATCCAAACACAAGATACCAAAAGGCACCCTTGATATCATTAATCACTGTATGAACAGCACATATTTTCTTTTCCAAGGTACTTATTACAACCAAGTGGAAGGTGCACCAATGGGTTCCCCCCTGTCCCTAGTAATTGCCAACATCTCATGGAAGACTTTTAATCTGAGGCTATATATGCATTTGATCCCACAAGCATACTCGCTGGATCAGATACGTATATTGACGATATTTTCGTCATATGGCCTTATGGTTACGAAATTCTCCAGGAATTCCTTGATCACATTAACAGAGCATTTATCCCAATATGAAGTTCACTAATACTCATACCAACCGTTATCTTCATGCAAACTCCCATCATCATCCTGCACAAACCAACTCCGTGTTGAATTCCCTTATCCACAGATCGATTCAACTCAGCAATAATCATAACCGACCACAAGAGTTGGGCAAAACTCAAATCCGCTTTAGTACAGATAGGGATATTTCATTCACATTACCCATCATGGTTAAAGCTGATAATCCCATTTCATTGTGTTTAACCGTGACGTCATTTCCGTTTGGGTACACCTCCCCTAGTGTCCCCTACCTGCCCCAGAGTTTACCAACTCCATTGTTGGTGAAGGTGGTTAAAGTTAAACTTGAATATTTGTTTACAATTGATTAATGTGAAAAATGGAGGATATAATGGAAACATCCAAATTAAAAATGAATCAAGTGGATATTGAAGTGGAGATACACGGGTGAACTGTGGTAGTGGGTGAAGTGAAAGAAATAGGATATCAAAAATAGTTAATGTTGACGTCATTATGACGTAGTTGCCTCCCACCACCTTCACCAAAATACTCTAACCGGGTTTAACGGGGAATGTGAATGAAATACGCCTATTGGTTACAGCAGTTCACGAATCGACAGATCC